TTAGAAGATCAGTGCCCAAGGCCAGTGGGGAAGACAGGGAGGGAGACTGATATTTATTTATTGCGATGTGTGTGTGTGTGTGTGTGTGTGTGTGTGTGTGTTGGGTGGGTGAGTGGGTGGGGTCCTTAGAGAGGAGAAGAAAAATAACACTTGGAGGTGAGGCTCAGCTCCAGGTAGCAGCATGCAGCTGGCTTATCCTCTCATTTTGACTCTTGCCCTGGCAAGGACAAAGCACCTTGTGTTTAGAAAAGCCTTTGCTATTCATGCTGTTTGTATTTCAAAGCAAGTTAGCTAGAGCCAGGGTGAGAAGGGCTTTTTGAGAGTTTTCTTTTTCACTATGTTTGGGGAGGGGAAGGTTCTTCAGAAAGGAAAAAAATATATACCGTATAAGTTAATGCCACATTTGCAAATGGCTTTTATATCAATATCTTCAGACTTAGTTGCTTTTCTAAAATAGTCACTTTTCCATCCTTTAAAAAATTATAACAGTAATACAAGCACATGGTAAAAACCCAAACAGAGCAAAACAGTGAGACGTGTGCGTAGATGTCTTTTGTTACCCCCCACATTTAGGGCCACTCTACAGATAATCAATGTTAGTGGTCATTGTACACACACACACACACACACACACACACACACACACACACACAAAGATTCAGTTAAAATATCAAGGCATAATGACTGTTAATTTGCTGGAACTGTCATAACAAACTACCACAGGCTAGGTGGTTTAAACAACAGAAATTTAATTTCTCACAGTTCTGGAGGCTAAAAGTCTGAAATAAAGGAGTCAGAATGGTTGGTCTCTTTTGAGGCCTCTTTCCTTGGCTCGCAGATGGCCATCTTCTCCCTGGGTCTTCACGTGGTCTTCTTTCTGTGTGTCTGTGCCCTAGTCTCGTCTTCTAAGGATGCCAGTCATATTGGATTAGGGCCCACTCCAATGACCTTTTCTAACCATAATTACCTCTTAGAGACCCTATATCCAAATATTCTGAAGTACTGAGGGTTAGGACTTCAACATGTGGGTTTTTGGGGTGGGGGACTCAGTTCAGCCCATAACAGTGAGTTACTCTTTTTAACTCCATTGTGTTGTGTATAGCCCCAAATTCATTTATCCAGTCCTAGCACTGGCGAATAAGACTGTTTCCATGCTTATAATGAACAACCTCATACCTAAATCTCTGTGCCCCTGTGTGAGAGGACATGCTGGATGAACTTCTAGAAGAATTGCAAGCATTGCCCTCCAAAGAGATTGTCTTGGGTCCTTCTCAAGTGCATAATAATTTCTTGTGGAAAAGGAGAGTGTGCAGTATCTACAAATGAAAGCCCTAAAACTTTGTGATATACTGCAGGTGTGAGATATTCAGAGTGTGGTACATGACCCTGTGTACTTGGCCCTGTGGAGTGGGATTGCCAGCCCCTTTGTTTGACAAGTGCTGTCATTATGACTTTACCATACATTATTCATTCAGCATCCATTTATTGAGCCATTGTTGGGCACTGTTTTGTTTATTTCTCCATTGTTATTATTTTTTAATAGGCTATTTTTTTTTAACTTTATTGGGGAAAAGTGTGTTTTTCCCAGGACCCACCATCCCATGTGGGAGTTGAACCGGCAAGAGCATGCGTTCTAACCAACTGAGCCATCCAGCCACCCACCAGCTGCTCAGTTCAATCTAGTTGCAGAGGGCGCAGCTCACTGGCCCATGTGGGAATCGAACCAGCAGTTAGAGCTCACACTCTAACCAACTGAGCCACCTGGCTACCCCTAATAGACTATTTTTTTGAGCAGTTTTAGATTCGCAGCAAAATTGAGAAGAAAGCACAGATTTCTCATATACCCTCCATCCCACACATGCATAGCCTACCCCATTTTCCACACCCCCTGCCAGAGTGGTACATTTGTTACAATTGATGAACCTATAGTGATAGATCATTATTATCAAAAGTCCATAGTTTATATTAGGGCTTATTCTTGGTGTGATGTACATTCTACATTTTATCCTGATTTGTTCAGTAAAAGGTTCTGGACCTCTGGAGCCAGGGGTAACAAGACACTGGCATTTGTCTTCAAGCTTGTGACAGCCCTGGAAATTAGGCTGTTTTGAAATTTTCTAGTTTTGAGGGTAAGGATCAGGGAAGTGACATGATCAGAATAATAAAGGTATAAGGGGCAGGGGTGGGATGCGAACCCATTTTATATCTAAATTTTGCTTTTCCAGAAAGGAGTAGTAAATCATCAGGGCTGTGAGATACCATTTCTTTTATAGATGCTATTTTGACTTTCTACTTGGTGTATGTATCAGTGTTTATTTAGCTAAAGATAATGCACTTGTACCCTTGGGTATTAGCATAGTTTGCTTTGATTAAATAACTTTTAGGCTAGTAGAAAAAGGGGATTGGATTTTAATATTAGGCATGTGTGTATATATGTACATACATCCTGTCTGTCTGTCTGTCTGTCTGCCTATCTATCTATCATCTCATACCCCATAGCATTATATAGAGAGTAGAAGTGAAAGTAAGGAATGTTTGAGAAATCAGATCCATAGACTGCCACATGACTTTAGTGACAGAATAGGATTAAACCAGTATGATTTTCTTTTCACATTTTCCATAATCACATCTGTCTCTCACTGTTTATCTTTAAATGACCAGTTCGGCTCACGTTATATAGCTCTTCATTTTTTTCTTCTGTGGAGATGTTAAGTTTAAATGTTGATTCTCTGTGGGAGTGTTCTATCATGGGAATCATTAACTACTTCTAAAATAGTTCTTTTCCTAAAGAGGATATTTTCTTTATCGCATTTGAATTTGAAATACAGTAAGACTGGTTATCATAGAACTAAAGAGTTACTAACCAGTGAAGGAGGCAGTTGGGAAAGAATTTGGAAAGCTGAGGATGGCATGTGAGTGGAAAGAGGTTAGTAAAATCGGGGAAAGAAAATACGAATGAGTGAATTGTAAAGGAAGGTGGCCCATAAGCGTACGACACGGGCAGTAGTGCTAGGATCGCACTTGTATGATCTGTTAGCTCAGAGCAAGTAGAATAGCTTATCTTATAAGCAGTGGCCTAACATTATGAAGCGAGAAGAGCCTTTTGAGGAAAATAGCTTGGAAAGCTGAAAGTAAGATGGAGAGAATACATTAGCAAATATTTAAAACTGTGAAATAGTACAGAATGACTAGGGGCTCAAACAAGGGCAGTTTCATGAAGTAGATGAAATACCTTGGGATGTCTATGGTTCCAAGACCTGTCATAACATCTTTATAATTACAGCCTGCTGCTGTATTATACCTGTATACCTATGATTTCTTCTCATTGTAAGTGATGTATATATAGTGTGGCATTCTAACTGATGCTTGTTTTGAAGCTCTGTAAAGTCTTGAACTTCCTTCCAAATCATTATCAAGAGACTGAATTGTTAGGGTGTAGGTTTTATATAGGCTATAACATAATGCATGTGCATTTCGTTGTTATTTGCAGTTATGGTCACCTCTTTTGTAGAACTCCCTATTTGCTAAATAGAAATCCGTCCCTAACACCAGGTGTGCCTGATTAGGTCATCCAAGAGACCACAACATAAACATAAGTACTGTTACCACCCCCACTTTATAAATGAGGAGTCTTAAAAGGGTTAGTAAGTTGCTCATGGTTCATAGCTAGTAGGTGGTAGAGCCAAGCCCCAAACCCAGGTAGTGGGACTTTGAATTTGAACTGTTTTTAAGCTGAGCCATCTTGCCTCCTGTTGGCAGCTCAGCGGCAGCTCAGCCCAGGCTGGGACTCGAACCACTGTTGCTCAGAGCTCGCGCTCTTGAGCGAGCTCTTAACTGAGCCACTTGGCTGGCCCTGAATTTGAACTTTTAACAGCACTATATTGTACTGCTCTATGCTTTACTAAATATCTAGTTTCCTTTTGGGGCCGTGGAAATACTCTGTATGATATCATAATGATGAATATATGTCATTATACATTTGTCCAAACCCTCTGAATGTAGAATGAACCCTTAGGTACCTGATGGTCTTTGGGTGATTGTGATAGACCAATGTAGGTTCATCTGTGGTAAAAAATGTACCATTCTGCTGAGTGTGAGTGATAATGGGGAGGCTATGCATATGCGGGAGTAAGGGGTATATGGGAAATCTCTGTGCCTGCTTCTCAATTTTATTATAAACCTAAAACTACACTAAAAAAAATAAAAGTCTTTAAAGAGAAAAAAATTAACACCAGACCCAAACCTGAAAACTTAATCCCTATTTTATTTAAGATTGCCAAATTATGTCTCGTGACAATGACTAATAAAGGCCAGAGATTTTTTAAAAAGAGAGCAATCTAGGCTCCCCACATAGAAGGTGTGTGTACAGTAGGTGTGTGTGTTCCTCCGCATCCATGCCCACTCGTTAGCCTAAAAGCCTACCACTAGGGGCAGGAAGCTGTGGTAATCAATGCCTGTGCTAAGAGGCACCTATGCCTTTTGAGCTTCAAGTTAGGCATCCCTATTATTTCCTGCCAAGGAGGATGGATGCAAGCACACATAGCCATTACATCCCAGCACGTTCCAGGTGTCCATCCAGTTCATTCTTTGGCTCATGGATTTTGACAGGACCTTTCGTTGGGCCCGACTTCCTGTTTTCCATGTTCTCCTCACCCCGCTTTGGCCCTTTTTCTCGTTCTTCTAGGCTTCTTCTCTTGCGCTTATCTGATCCCAGACACTTTTGTTTTGCCTAAGAGCAACGATTATACCACTTCAGGTGAATCGTGCCTTTTCTATTTAATTATCGGGCCTCTCCTAAGCCTTAGTGCTAATCATTAAGGGCAGTATCAGACCAGTTCTGCCGAAAGCTCTGTTCACACACTAAACTGCTGGTCCTGCATGTTCTATGGGCAGGATGGCTTGGAAAAAAAGGTAGCCTGAAAGGCCCACTTGCAGAGGGCTGGTGTTGACAGGTTGGTCAAGCAATGGCTTGAAGGGGATGTTCTGTGTTTCTTTTCTAGTTGGCCTGCTGCTGTGGGTCTGCTGGCTGCTCCCTCGGCTGCGGCTGCTGCCCCAAGATCCGACAGTCCCGGAGCACCCGCTTCATGTACGCACTCTACTTCATTCTCGTCTCCGTCCTCTGCTGCGTCATGATGTCACAAACCGTGGCTAACGCGATGAAAGAGCACGTAAGTCGGCGGCGTTTCCACTCTCCCCGTTTCTGATGGCCGATGAGGGGAGGTGGGACACCTACAATTTAGGATGTGGTTTTGAGTGCACGCGCTCTCTCCACACCTTCCGGGATGCCTCTTCAGTGGTTTCCTGCCGAGTCGATGAACCAGTCAACGTCTTGATCTGTAGGGGTAGTACCGATGCAAGCTGCTGCTTTTGGTGGAGAGGATTGTGTGCTTTGTCTTCGCCTTGTTTATAGCTTTTCCTGATGGGATATATATAGTCTCAGCTTGTGGACTTTTATACCTTTCCCTTGTCCTAACAATCACTGCCAGTATCCCAAGTAGCAGTTATCAAAAACACTTAACTTGGATAATTCCACAGATAATGAGTAGGCTATAGGGTGATTTTTTACTTTTCTCGACACGTCACTTATAAGATGGGTGTCTTTAGGAGTGAGGATGGATTTCCAGTCATTCCCTGAGCAGTATATGCAGAGGTAGGACCGGGTATGTGATGCCGATAGAGACGTACATAGGACCTTTTTCTGGAATTTCCCTATAGTAGACCTTTTAATTATCCAAATTACTGGGGGGCGGGGGGATGTGTTGGAGTTTTTGAGGGAGTCTAATAAATAACACCATCCTTTCTCTCCCAGGTTCTGAACAAATTGACAAAGAAAACTACAGTGTTAGCAAGTAGATGCCCAAAATTACTTTTATCCCTCATAGAGCTAGTGTGGCTCGTATCTGCAAGGAAGTAGGCTTCTCACTCCTGAACCCCAAAATGAGTCAGACTTACCCACCCAGGGAACTCACTGGGGCCAGGGCAGACTTTGTCTGGAGGGGCACAGTTTGCCGGGAAGAACAGCTCTTGTCCAAGGGAAAGGGGGAGAGGAAAGGCTAGCTATGCAAACCCCATTTGCCCCTACAGACTTACTGCTTAGTGGTCTCGGAACCCCTCTACAATGGAGATGGCATTCCCGGGAGCAACTCCGAGAAAGTGTTTGTTCTCCCCAACTTTATGCTGAAACTACAAACTATTTTAAATACACTGAAGTGCTTCAGAAATAACCATTTTCTTCTTTCTTTCTTTCTTTTTTTTTTTTTAGCTGAGTCATCCTGCCACCTGTTGGCAGCTCAGCGGCAGCTCAGCTCGAGCAGGGACTCACACCGCTGTTGCTTAGAGCTTGCACTCTTGAGTAAGCTGTTAACCAACTGAGCCACTCGGCCAGCCCACCAACCATTTTCTTAAAAGCACTCGATATATTCTCATCCATTTGTTAAAGTAGGCCCTTTGAACTTTCTGTTGAGTAATGCTTTGTAATTGTTGTATAGTCTGGAATATACCCGACTACCGTCAGAACTGGTGAAATTAAGATTCGCCTCTGATTGCTTTAAACGGTGGAGTTCTACAGTGGGAGCTGAGGGACATTCAAACTTGTGAGAAATGGAGCTGAGAATCCAGAAGACAAAGTATAAAGTCTTCTGAGGCATAAAACAAGGTAGACATTAATAAACGCCATACGAGAGGATGCAGGAAGTCCTGTGGAAGTTTGGAGGCAGGGAGATCAAGAACTAAGGCTGCCTCATTAGTCCACACTGGGTTTACTCCATCTTGGAGGTGTTTGCCCCCATTCTCTTATTTACCATGGTTTAATCTCATGTTTGTTACAAAATGTTTGAGAGGAGGGATACTGAAAGGGTAAGTTTGAACTCTGATTCTGAAGGTCCACTTAATCTCCCACTTACTACCTTTGTTTTTCAAGTAACTAATGTTCTCTTTTTAAAGTCAACAAGAATTGGCTTTAGAACCCACTGGTCTCAGAGTGGACCAGATGTCTGTGGTATGATTCCCGTTCTTAAGAAGTTTTTCAATTTGGTAAAATTAAGCTTAGTTTCCAAGAAACAAAATCAGAAGCCATACAAATATGTGGTATCTTTTCGTGGTGAACCCTTCAGAAACATTGTTACTGGAGGTAGAGAATTTGGGAGCCATGGTACATATTTTAGGATATGACTTTCAAAATAATTTTAACATTTGATGACCACCAAGTAACCTGCCCCGTGAATCAGTCCCTAACAACCCCAGCCACTATCTATTGGGTTGTCGGAAAAGTCATGACGCATTTTTCTGTTTTTGTTGCAAAAATGCGTCATGACTTTTCCGACAACCCAATATGATTTCAGACTGTTAGTAGAACATTTAAAAAACAGAAGATGTTGACTGGTGTTGCTAAGGGAAGACACCATGGAGGAAGTGACTTGTGTGATAATAATGAGGGCTTTAATTTCTAATATTTATTGGGTGTTGCCATGTGTCAGGATTTATTCTGAGTCTTTTACCTATATCATCTCAGTTCATCATTACTAACTCACCTGAGCAGTAGGTGCTGTCATTATCCCTGCTTTACAGAGGAGGAAATGGAGTCATTGCATCATTTAAGTACCTTGCCTAACACCTCCAGCTCTAAGTGGTGGAGCTGGGATTTGAACCCAAGCTGAATGTGTTCTCAGTGACTAGACTGTATAGGTAGAGAGAAGGGAAAATAACAAGATCAGGGCACATGGAGGACAGAGGGTAGGCATGAGGAGGTAAAATGACCAAGTCTTGCAGGAATTTCAGTGCCAAGGTGAGTCATTTGACCATGGTCTGATGGCAGGTGGGAAGCCATTATAGAGTCTTGAGAAAGAGGTTGTCATCATAGAAACAGATATTCAGGGAGGTGAGCCCAGCAGTAGTGGGTGTGCAGTGTGATTTGGGGTCAGAGTAGAAGGAGGGAGAGAGGGTAGGGACAGGGGCTCTTATAAATGTTTCTGTGCCTATCCCCTGAATGTACTTATTTAAAAATGGTTTGGCTGGGCTTCCTGCATCAGGAATGAGGTCCCTGTGGGCGAAACCAATCCTTTTCCGTCTTCACAGCCTCGCAGGGGACCAGCCAGCTGGTCACAAAGTCAGCTTGTTCCATGGCCTATGGAATAGAGGCTGACCTCATCCTCAGGCAGTGCTTCAGGGCAGGCATTGAAAGGTCCCCTTGTGGGGACGCACACTGGGCTCCTGCTGCGATCCTCGCCCCCTCATTGTTGGCCTGTGGAAATGTTTGAGGTTGTGATGGGAAGAGGAGAAAGCATGTACACTTGTAATGGCCTAGACGGGAATGTGTAATTGCCTCCTACCCAGCATTCGTGTGCAATGGCCACGAGCTGTCTGGAGCCACGTGGGCCTTGGGTATGTGGGTTAAGAACATGAGGGCAGCTCCCTTTCTGCTTATTTTCAGTTTTTGCCTTAGTTTTAGAATGTGCCCTGTGTTTAAGTCTGAGCAAGAGGGAACTGCAGGGAGCTGCTGGGCCAAACTGCGTCCTGCTTCTGTTCACTAGGAGCGTTCCTCTTTCCCATGAGAACTTTGGCTCAGAGAAAGCGCTACTGTGGTGATTGAATAGGGTGTGATTTTTTTTTTTTTGTCTTCTGGAGTGTTTTTTCCATCTCAAAATGTGTAGGAGCCATTTTATTACCAATCATTCTAGTCAGGAACCATGTCATTCAAGTAGTCTTGAGATATTTGATGGCTGATGGATGAAAAATCCACTTTAGAAGGTAGAATGCTCCTCCCCCCTCACCCCAAATTAAAAAAAAAATGGGCGAGAGATTTAAGCCTCCTGACCTGCACCACTAAATTAAGATGTAACTTTTAGATTTGGAGGCAGGCAGATGATGACACTTGGAGGTTTGGGCACACGGGAAAGCTACATGGGCATTTTGAGAGGGAGGAGAAAGGAAGGTTCTTGTTTTCTGTGGGAGGGGTGCCTCTAAAACCAAACCTGTACTGGAGAAGGGAGGACAGGTACCGCTGTGGCCCTCAGGCCTTCTTCCCTGCAAGCTCAGTATGCCAGGCCAAGGTGGGAAGAGCCTTCCATGTTCCTAACTTGAAGCATCTTTGACCCATTTGCTTCATCCTTGTTCCGCTTGGTCCCTGGGCTGCTCTAATTCATTGAGACAGGTAATAGGTAGTGCCTGAGATGGCTGAATTCATGAAAAGGTGTTTTTTTTTCTTTCCCCAGAACCAAAACACATCTTGCACATTATGGAAGACTCTTTGTGTTATGTATTTGTTTTAAATTTACATTTTGAAGAATTATTCCTTATATTGAGAGGAGAGGCAACTAAGATGTTTATTTTGATAGCAGTCTCTTTTTGTTCCCTCATTTGTTTTTAGAAGACATTATGTTTTGTTTAAAATCTTACTTGATCCCATTAGGAAACATGTTTTACTTTACACATTATTTCCTGCTGTTAGGTTTGGGTCAGTTTTCCTCTGAGTGAGGAGTAGATGCTGAAATGGCACTTCTGTGATGGTTACTCTTGCCCTGGATAAAAGAGCTTTTTAGTTCTTTTCAGCACAAGGGTGATAATGTTGCAGGGTAGAGTGGGCTTCAAAGGAAGATTGGATAAGACCTAAGGGATCCGGAGGAGAGAGGGACTCATGACTGCAGTTTCCTCTGCGTCATAAAAGCAGCTTCTGAACTCCATTCTCTCCCTGGACTTGATGAAAGTCAGCCAATCTGATGTTCAGAGCTCTGGGCCCTTCCCCTACCCATTAGCCAGTGCCACACCCAGAGATTTCAGGGGAGCCCGGAACTCGCCTCGCCTAGGCATTGTATATTGGCATACAGGTTCTTGTTTGGGTAGAACTTTTTCTTTCTTTTTTTTTTTTTTTAAATTTTAATTTGGCTCCCTTTAGAAGGGCCAGCATACTGTAGCTCACCACAGGCCCCGTCCCTGGCTGCTCACTTACAGCGCATCTCACACGTTTCCCCTTACTGTTTGTCCCCCAAAGAAAGGCATTTGGGTTTGCAACTCCTGGAGTAGCTTACATCCTTTGAGTTCACAAGCTTCTGAAAAGGCTGTAAATTCAAAGAGAACACGAGGGTTCTCTTACCTCACCCATCATGGCGAGCAGTATGGAAGTTGATGAGTGTGCTAGAGTGGTCTGCAAATCTACATGCAGAGCTCTGGGCTG